TGAAAGCCGGTGGTTTTCTTAAGACTTCGCAAGATCGCGAGCGCGCGTTGTTTGGGAAATCGATGTTGCGAAATCACATGTTTTGTATGTTTGTTAGACATTCGGTTTTTATATCGCTACGGAACCACCAGTTTTTGACGGATTTCGGCATGCGCGCGCGTCGACGCGCGCGCGTGCTCTTCGTCCTATCGTTTGCAAAGGATTCTCGCGACGGCACGCGCGCAAGGGCGTTCGAACGAGGTCGACATGCGCGCGCGAAGCCCGTTTGGTAGCATGTTGTGAGCATGTTGAAATACGATCGTTTCATTAAGAAGTCGCCAGAGCGCGCGCACAAGCTTTGTTTAAACATTTGTGTTGCGAAACTATCTGCTTTTATATTGCGAAGGCCTTGTGGCCAGTGCCGCCGACCCTGGAGACGGCGACGACGAGGACGACGAGGATGTTGAGGAGCAGGTGGCGGAGGACTCTCGGGAGCAGGAGGGGCGAGGAGGAGGAACAGGAGGAGGAGGAGGAGGAGGAGGAGGAGGAGGAGGTGCGAGGGGGGAGGAGAAGGACGAGGATGGGGGGGAGAGGGACGAGGAGGGGGGGAGAGCACGGGGGAGAGCGAGGCGAACAAAGATGCATGTGCAGGAGAAGGACGGTAGACAAGGAGGAGGGGCAGCGGTGGGTAGAGCGTGGCGAGCATGAGCAGCAGTAGACGAAGGAGGACAGCAATGACGAGGATGCTGACGATGATGACGACGGCGCGGATGATGTCGGTGATGATAACGATGATGATGTCGTTAGGGGGTGTAAAACCGGCGGCAGGAGAAGTTGGAAAAGTAGGAACGTGAGGATGATGGTAATGAGGGGGAAGAGGAAGGGGATGAAGAGGAGGAGCTCGAGGCCGAGAAGGAGCGGGAATAGGAGGCGCAGAGAAGGAGGAGGGAGAGTATGGGGAGGCTCATGAGGTTGAGGAAAACAAGAGGCAGGGTGCACACATACTCTTGTCCGGGATGGTTCCCCGGAAAGGCTGATGGTGGACATGGGCGACGTGACGACGACGACGACGACGACCACGACGACGACGATGACGACGACGACGACGCCCACGACGACGATGGACGACCATCTGTTTTTGGGGCAGCGCGTCCGTGGCCGAAAGAGGAAAAGGAGGGTCAGGAGAGGGAGGGAAACGGGAGTGGCGGGGAGTGGGGGAGTCGTATCTGCCCCGGGACCCCCCCCGGGACCCCCCCGGGACCCCCCCGGGACCCTTCCCAGGACCCCCCCCCCCGGACCCCCCCCCTTTTCCGGCGGGAAGGAATCAAAAGGAAGGAGCTTCCCTTCGACTCAACTACAACGTTGCTGAATTTCGTTGTGGCTGGCGCGCTCGAGGAGAAGGGCCCGACGACGAGTCAAACGGAACAGCCTCTTCCACACGCCGACAGGGTCGGCGGATTTTTTCGGACAGTTGATTTTAATATTTTTTCGAAACCGAAGATTTGGAAGGATTTCGGCATGCGCGCGCGACGACGCGCGCGCGCTTGATAAACGAGCGTGCGCACATAACATTTGTTGCAGATACCGGTTGGGCTGGATGCACATCGTAATACGAAAGGGGGAACCGATAATCCTGGGTGGGTGGGTGTAGAGTTTCTTGTTTTTTAGAAAGGAGAGTCTACGTGGGTGCGCACTATGCGGTGTAAGCTATATGGTATGGTGCCAACCGTGTGGTGTAAGATGTGTGGTGCACTCTATGTGATCGAAGCTAATTCAGTGGTGCAAGCTATGTGTTGTAAGCTGTGCGGTTCAGTATGCGCGGTGCAGGCTATGTGGTGCAAGACCTGTGCTGCAAGTTATGCCGTGTAACCTGTCTAGGCTATGTGGTGCAACCCATGCGGTGTAAGTTATGTGATGCAGGCTATGCGGGGCAGCGACGGACGGTAGCGGGGCCGCCGGGCCCGCTGACAGCTTATTATCGGGAAAAGCGGCGCAGCGACGGACGGGAACGGGTCCCGCCGGGCCCGCAGACGGGCCCAGTCCCTTAGAAGAGAGATTAAGAAACCACTCAGTGCAAGCACTGTTTTGTGAATTTTGCAGTGCTCGACTTCTGGGTCTTCGGACCGAGACGGCGCAAGAGAGCCCAAAGATGGCGCCGAGGTGGCCCCGAAACGGCCCCAAGACAGCCGCAAGATAACTCCGGATGGCTCCAAGACGACCCAGGAGGCCCCCAAGAGACCTCCAAGAGAGCCCCAAGAGTGTCCCAAGAGGGCCCCAGGAGGGTTCTCAATCGCGAAGAGGCCAGCAGCACCATCCGTACTTAGCGCCACGCTGGCCCCCAGACGACCCGCGGAGGCCCGCAGAGGTCCCGAGATGCCCCCAAGAGGCCCTCAGGAGGCCCACAGGAGGCTTCGCTAGCCGGGGGGGGGGGGAAGTTTTCCGGCGCGAGTACATTTTCCTAACAGGTCAGAAGGGGGCTGCAAGAGAGAGGGCCCGCCGAACTACGCACTGTATCTTCGTGGCGTGCCGGCGTGGCGGCGACGCCAGCGCAGGCGTTCAAAGTGGGAGGCCACCGTCGGCTTGAGCTCGGGCCATAACTGAACGGTCTCAGCTTTCGGAAGGCTGCGATGGTTCAAGTTCGAATGAGCCACGCGGCACCAGAAGCCAACGCGCATGTCGTCACGACACGAGCGCGACGCACGCCCAGAGGGTCGGTGTGACTGCTTCGTGGCGAAGATGGTCTGGGATCGAGGAGGCCTCCAGAGGCCTCCTTAGGGTGTCCAGAGAGGCAGCCAGATGTCCCTCCCCCGAGGCCCCTGGAGCGCTCAGGAGGCCCCCTGATGCCCAAGGAGGGGCCAGCAGCGTCGATTGACAGGCATCACGACGTCGGAGGTCTGGGCGATCTTGGGATCTTCGGAAGGCTGTCGGCGAGGCGCAGCTGCTGGGATGAACAAGGCGGCCCCCGAAGCCCTTCTGAAAGCAACAAACATATCTGAAATCCGCCTCATCGCCCTCCCCCAAATACGCTCGAGCACCTGCTGCACTTTCAAGGTCGCGCGCTGATTCCCGATAACTATGATGGCTTCGGTCAATTCAATTCCTACTTCGACAACCTCATCGCGCACATCAGAACTTATGGTTGTTGCGACGGCTTCGCGAAGCTGCTGGGCTCCTTCGACTCTCCTATGCCGCTGCCTGCGCCGGTCGAGCTTCAGCGGCAGGCTGAGACCAACGACAGTCGGATGCCTCTCGAGTCCGATGAGCTGCTGACGCCGAGCGAGACCGACGAGATGTTGTAGCAGCATGGCGGGACCGACGAGACGCAGCAGCAGATCTTAGGCAACCATTGTGACGATCTCATCGTACACATCCAGAGGGATGACTGCTACGATGACATCTCGAAGCTGCTGGACACCTGCGCTTCTCCCTGGTTGCCACCTGCTGCGTCTTCATCGACTACCACTTCTTCATGCTTCAAGGAGAACCCGCTCTCGGATTCCCGCGAAGCACCTGAAGGTGGTGGAGTAGCTTCAGACAGCATCTTCGATTGCAAGGTCTACATACATATATCTATATACATATATATATATATATGCTCTTGGGCCAGCTCCTTTTCCCCATCGTCTCCATTGCCGTTCGCCCAGCGGTCAAATCATCTCGACTGAATCGGGCGCTTCGGAGACACGCGTCGCCCCCAGGGTATTGCCAATCCCCCTATACACGCTCGTTTTCTCCTGCTTCCCCTCATGTTTCAGTTCTGGCTTGACTTTGCACAGCGAGGTGCGTTGCGTCTGTGATATCTGTGAACGACAGTGAACAATCAACGGGTGCAGCAACTGTTTGTTGCAGGAGCGGCAGGGTCGCCGCATATGATTGGAGCGTCCTTCTCCGCCTGCCTCCTCTTGCCATGGTGGAGAAGGATCCTGACGGAAACGGGTCCTTGACCCAAGAGCTTTCCGCTGGTGCCAGCTCGTCACCCCGAGGTGTTTGTTGTTACGCCCCCTGCGCCCCTTGTGCCCGAAGACAGCGAACAATCGGTATGGTTTAACCGATCACCATCCCCATCCCCATCCCCTTCGACACCCCCACCAAATTACCACCCAAGTTGGGGATACACCCCTCGAAACCCGAAGGGAACGACCCATATCTCCATCTATGGGGGTAAATCGGCCAGTGGGGCCCAGGCCACGCCGCATGGGGATCGTTTAAACGATACTTGAACAACTTCCACGACCCGTTTTCCTCAAGACCCGCTTGCCTTATTACGGTTCTCCTTTCCCCAAAGATGAGCCAGGCCAGGCTCAATCTCCAATGCCGATCCTCCATCTAGGAGGCAGCGCCGAGCATCCAAAATAGAGGAGCGATAGCGCCTCCAGACTGGAGGTCGAGACTCCAAGTTTGGAGGTCCCCGACTTTCCGGGTACACATGGGGGCGTCCTCCTCCTACCCCCTTCTCTTCCTCGGAATCCGACTCACTCCTCACTCCTCCTCCCTCCTGCCCCTTCCGCGAGCTCAGGGCACCTGCGTTGTGGTATAATATTACGACACTATCACGGTGCTCCACCCTCCATCCATCCTCAATCCCCTGTTCTTTCCTCGCATCCTCCTCGTCCTCCTGATCCTGCTCCTGCTCCTCCTCCTCCTCCTCCTCCTCCTCCTCCTCCTCCTCCTTCTCATCCTCCTCCTGCTGCTCCTCCTCCTCCTCCGCCTCCTCCTCCTCACTCCTCATTCATCCTTCCTCCTCACTTCTCATCACTCCTCATCACTCTTCCTCATTCCTCTTCACTCCTCCTCACTCTCCCTCCTCACATCTCCTCCTCCTCCTCCTCCTCCTCCTCCTCTTCCTCCTCCTCCTCCTCCCCTCCTCCTCCTCCTCCTCCTCCTCCTCCTCCTCCTCCTCCACTTCCTCAATCCTTCTCGCTCCTCCTCCCTTCCTCCCCCTCCTCCTCCTCCTCCTCCTCCTCCTTCTCCTCCTCCCTCACTTCTTAAGCTCCTCCAGCGATGGGCCTGGGGCCGGGCAGATGCGTGGCCGCCTGCCACAAGGAAGTGGACAGAAGACGACGCGGCCGCCGACGCCGCGACTCTGGCGCTCCGGACCTCCCCCGCGCCGCGCCCGCGCGTCGGCCCGTGCGCTCGTGCGACAGAGCGCTCTGGCGGACTCGCGCCGTGCCGGCCCCTCCTTCGCCTTGCTCCTGCTCCTCCTTCTTCCTTTTCCTCCTCCTCGTCGTCTTCCTCCTCCTCCTCCTCCTCCTCCTCCTCCTCCCTCCTCCTCCTCCTCCTCCTCTCCTCTCGTCTTGCTCCTCTCCTCCTCCTCCTCCTCCTCCTCTTCTTCCTCTTGCTCCTTATCCTCCTCCTCCTCCTCCCTCCCTCCCTCCCGCCCTCCCGCCCTCCCGCTCTCCCGCCCTCCCGCCATCCCTCCTTTCCTCCCCCCCTGCCTCCCTCCCTCCCTGCTCCCTCCTTGCACCTCCCTCTTCCTCCTTGCCTCCCTCCCAACTGTTCAGGCCATTGGGCCCTTGGCATCCTCGGTACCTGGACGTAGGCGGTTCTCCTCTGCCCCAGGGGCGCTGCGGGCCAGGAGGCGCCGATCGGCCAGCGCCAGGGGCCCGACGCCGGAGCCCACATCATAGAGTCCTCCCTCCATCCCTCCGTCAGTCCCTCCCTTCCCTTCCGGCGTGCCTTCCGGTAGGCCGCTGGCAAAGGGTGTAGTACGACCAGGCGGTGGTTGCATCGCTTGGATCGCCCAGGCGGGGTTGCCAGCGCCTGTGGGCTTTCTTCCCAGAACCTTCCAGAGAGATGCCCGGATGCCCGGGGGCATCGGGGGTGTCGTGCTCGAGTCGCCTCCCAAGTCACGTCCCTCCCTCGCTCCTCTCACCCCCTCCGCTCTTTCCTCCCCTGCTTTCCGGCTGCGCATCGCACGATGGGTGTCTTCTTGGGAAGTTCCGGGTCCGCTATGACACGCGTCCGCGTGGTACGTGCTGCTTTAGCTAGTCATGGTCTTCCCCAGAGATCATCCCGATGCCAGTCGAGGGCCCGCGCGGCATTGCTTCCAACAGGGAGAGCGTGTGGGTGCGCGCGTGGCCCGCACACGGCGTCACTTGTCGAGGAACGTGTATCTCGGGCCAATCAGTGTCCCCGTACGGCCCAGGATCAGTGTGATGGCACGCCGGGGCGCGGCACACGTGTCCCAAACGGCTCGCATTGCAGTGGGGGACCCATGCTGAGAAGCACCCTGCTTGCCTCCAGGGTGCCCTGGGTTTCTTGAGTTTCGATGCTTTCGCTATGGGAAGAGTGACGTTTCCCCACTAAACATCAATGGACGTCCAGGGGTCTCAGGATTGGGCTTCTCGCGGAAGGTTTCTTGTGGTCGTGCCCCCACTGTATTAGACACGGGCTCGACATGCACTGCATGTGTTTGCCATTGCTGGGACTTGCTCTCTGGTTTTTTGTGTCCAAATTACGGGTACGTTTCTTTGCCAACCTGCGTCGCCCTGGCGCTCGGCGCGCGACCCCGACCGACACCGTTTCCCGCCGACGAATTCAGAACCAGAGTTTTTCCGGGGAAGATCCTCGCAAGATCGGCTCCTGACTCCGTGGGGCCCCCAGAGGGCCCAGGACGCCCCCCCGCCCCCCCCCCCCCCCCCCCCCCCTCAAATTGAGCTCAGAGATGCCTCCAGACGGCCCCAAGAGCCCCGCCGACGTCGCCAAGAGGCCCAGAGGTGCCTCCTCCCAAAGCATCCGGGAACCTCAGAAATGAAGGGTTGGAGGGTTGACGGGTTGGCCTCGGTTTCGCAACCCTTCAACCTTAGTTTCAACCCTTCAACCTTAGTTTCAACCTTAGTTTCAACCCTTCAACCTTAGTTTCAACCTTAGTTTCAACCTTAGTTTCAACCCTTCAACCTTAGTTTCAACCTTAGTTTCAACCTTAGTTTCAACCTTAGTTTCAACCCTTCAACCTTAGTTCCAACCTTAGTTTCAACCTTAGTTTCAACCTTAGTTTCAACCTTAGTTTCAACCCTAGATTCAACCTTAGCTCCAACCTTAGCTGCAACCCTACAACTTTCATTTCAACATTTGATTCAACCCGATAATTGTTTTGTTTGTTGTTTTGCAATCGATCCTCGCACCCTACATTTCTTAGAAGCCTGGATGCTCCCCCGCAGAGGGATGGGAGGGCAGGGTTGGATGCCAGATGTAGCGCGAGCGCACCTAGCTTGCCTCTCCCCCTTGTCCCCTCGCCTCTCCTCCCCTTTCCTCCTCCTCTCCTGTCGGTTCAGATCCTTCTTCTCCCTGGAAGCGGCGTTCGAGCAGAAGGGGGCAGGGGGAAGGAAAGTGAGGGAAGAGGTGGAGGGAAGGAAGAGGGGGAGGAAGGAAGGAAGGATCGTTATTACCGTCATCGTCATCGTGAGCCGTTTTGGCTCCAAGGTTCGCGTTTCGAGGAACGGGCTGGCAACCGACCTACTGACCCCAGACGTTCTTCTCAGCAAACAGTGCAACACCATGGCGGCGCCACGTATGGTTGCCAATGAGGCAGTCCTGACTAAGGATTACACCACCGCGTTCCTACATGCCCACAGTCGTGCGAAGCTTCCGTTGGACGAGATGCTGGGTTCCCTCAAGGCCGCGCCCTATCAGATTAGTCCCGATGATCTCGCAAGGGGCTCCCCTCTAATTGAGGAGCTCTTAAGCATTGGATTGAAAAACGGTGTTATCTACCCGTCACGTTTCGAACAAGGTCTTCGGGATGCCATCCTCGAGAACCGTAGTGCCATGAAGGCCGAGGGTCAGAGCGCCGAGCTCAAGATCATCCAGATACGCACGCACGTGTCTAACCTCTTGACTCAGCTGCGGAACTGGAAAAGGGAGACGACGGGAGTGTATACCAAGAAGGTAACTAAGACAGCTGGCTTGAAGAGAAAGGCCAGCTCGGCCCAGCAGGTTTTGATCAACACTTTGGTGTCGAAGCTTGACTGGTCATCGGAGGAGAATGCCAGCCGCGCAACGTCTGTCGAGCCAGCAGGGAGTCGTGCATCGTCCCCCGAACCGCCCCCAGGAACGGAGGCCACCAGGATCCATCAATCCTTGCGTGGCGAGTCGTCATCTGGTCTCCCTCTGTGCTTCCAGAAGTACCTTGAGAACCTGCGTGCGGACTCGCGTGACCACTTGTACTACGCCAGCCTCCACGTGACGATCCCCGTGGCGATCCCCTTGGCGAACACTCAGGCGAGCCCCGTTCCTGAGACGCCCCCCGCGATGGAGACGCCCCACAAGGCAATGCATCTAGCAAACAGGAGGCGGAGGAGGAGGAGGACGAGAATGAGGAGGCGGAGGAGGAGGACGAGGAGGAGCAGGAGGAGGATGAGGATGAGGACGGACGAGGATTTTGATATCAAGCTGAAGTTCGGGTTTGGGACCTTGGGGAACAGAGGGTGTGACATGATCATGTCACACCCTCTGTTCCCCATTTTTGGTTTGGGCTCGACCCCCCGCCGCCCTCGAGGGTGGCGGGGGGTCGAACTCAAACCAAAAATGCCCAACCACCCAACCCGAATTCGTGCTTAATTGTTGTTGGCCTCAATGCCGCGAGGCAGCCGACGTGACGGTCGGCGCGGCGGCAGATGTTTCGAAACTCACGCCGATTCTCGACGCTAAGACCCGCAAGGACAACGTATTGACCAGCCGCTATGGTGGCGATGACAAGGCGTGCCCGTCACCCGAACGTATACCCGTCCAAATACAAAAATCACAGACACCATACATATACACATACACATACACATGCACATGCACACCACGTATATCACATACAAACGCGTATGTCCCATACATGCACGTACACCAACAAAAAACGTATATCGCACATACACATACCATACACATACACACACGTAAACATACACGTTCATTAACGTACATACACATACACATACGCGTGTACATAACCATATGCATACACACAACCACGCGCAATCACAGACGCGTGCGCATTCACATTCACACGCGCACACACGCAAGTATATACACAAGCACATGCACACTCATGCACACACATATGTGCAAAATAAACAGTGTTACGAGGAGCGAGCACGTAATTGCGGCTTCGGGGCACATTCCCAAGGTGGCTGCTGACGCGGCCAAGGACAAAGGTGGCAAGAACAAGGGCACGCCCATGGCCGCGGACCCCCCCCCAGCGCAAGCCCAAGACCGCTTCCGAGGACCCACTGCTGCAGGATCTCAAGTTGTCGGGCCCCACGAACGAGGCGAACCCGAGGTGCGAGTTCGTAGCGAAAAATGTTTCGACTGGCAAGCGTGTCCACGTTCTCACAGTGAACAGGAACCGAGATGGTAGGAAATTTGCTTCTGCTGCAAAGAAGTTCAAAGCGTTCTACGTCAATGTCGAGGGTGGTACGTTTCGTCGTTCTGATGCCATTCAGAAGATGCAGGAGTTGCTGGCGCGAGGGTGATAACACGTTTCTGTGAGCCCCCGTTTCTTGTAGCGATGCCTGGTGCGTTGCTGCCGCGTTCGCTGTTGCATTGTATTCCAGCTTTGTGTTTTTTACAGGCTTTGACCACTTTAGGGCACCCTGTGGGATGGTGCTAGATTTCAAGAGTGTGCATGGGGACAGTGCGCTTCGACATCTTACGACATTTCTGCCAAACTGTTGGGACGCACACCCTCCCGCCCTCGGTATCCTCCATACTTCGTTTCTTCCTCCGTGTCCTCTTCCACCGATCACCAAACAAACAGACAACGCAAACACAAACATGCGTATAGCCTGCGCGTCCGGACAGCCGAAGAGGGCCCCAGGAGGGCCCCAAGGGGCCAAACAAGTTATGACAACACTTGTTCCCACAAAAGCATGTTTTTCTTACAGAAAACCGTAGCGTCTCAAACCTAAAGGAAAAGTATAGGTTTTGACGGAAATCGTGCCCTTGGGAGCCCTAAGCTGACGCCCCAGGTCGTTCTAGTTGGCGCAACTTCTGGCGCAGCACAGCCCTTCACAGCGGGGGTTTACATGCCAAGAAACACCAGCTGCTTCCTCCCAGGGTGTCCTAGGTTTCCTGCATTTCGATCGGTTGTATCATGGAAAAAACTACGCTCGCATACGAGAAAAGAAACAGCGGGCATCCTTGTGTTTCAATGTTGTGTTTCTTGTGGACGGTTTCTTGTGGCCGAGCTTATGCCGTGTGCCAGATGTCGGGCCCCCTTCCCCCTGGTATTCCGTAATGCCATTTCGGATCAACATATATAGCCAAGCAAGGGCTGTTAGTGAGTACCTCCGCCGCTTCAGAGCTTTGTGGAGCTATGGTGAAGGGCGCTGCGCCGAAGACCGTCGGCAAAAAGCGCCCTGCTGCAGCCGAGCGCCCTGCTGCAGCCGACCCCAAGAAGCCCGAGGAGCCCAGGGGGTGGACTGCGAAGGCTCAGAGATCGTCGAAGTCGGCCACTCCAGCCATCGAGGACGGGCACGCGGGCGATGCGGCTACGGAGCTGGACGTCTCGCCCAACACGCGCCAGCAGCGCTGCGTCTTCGAGGGCATGTTGCCGACCCTGTCCAAGGAGGTCCGCGACAAGTGGGAGGACTTTCTTTTGAAAACGGCTTCACCTCGCGCAGACCAACCATCATGACCTGACTTCTTTGGGGTGGTGAGACCACCAGGTCTTGTTAACATTTTTTACAAAATCACCCCGTGCTCTGGTGTTCTGGGCATTCCCTCTGGGTGGATTCTGGCATTCCCTCCTGGGGGGTATGCTTTCATTTCCTTACCGAGAGGAGCTATCGTCGAAGAAGGGCGTGAAGGGCATCCAGCAGCTGAAGAACGCCTTGCGCAACAGCGTGGTGCACAAGGACGCGACCTACGAGCTGAGCACCAGCAACCTGAGGGACGTCAAAGCCACCGACTTCCTCAACGTGACCAAGACCGTCACGCAAAGCCGCAGTGAGACTGGGATGACCCACAGTGCGCTCGAGGCGAAGTTCCACTTCAACGGGGCCAAGTTGCAGGCTGCCAAGGACCGCGGCGACGTCTGGCACGAGACGGACAGCGACGGGGACGAGATGTGGTACGAGAAGAAGAAGATCAGGAGCGTTACCGACGCAGTGGAGAAGAAGAGCGAGTTCAAGAAGGACCACTCCATGAAGGACATGGCCGAGCTCAAGCAGATGATCCAGGACAGCTGCGCGACCAACAAGGCCTGGCTCCAGAAGGCCATCGGGCGCGGCAAGAAGGGCAGTGGGCCATCTTCGTCTCGGGCGGCTCCGTCGACCAAGGGCGTCGTCACCTACGAGACGATGCAGGTCATGCAGGGCGCCTGGGACGCCAGCACCCAGCTCACCGCTGATGCAGGCTGACCCAGGGGCCTAGCCCCGCACGATTGTACCGAATGAAAATCTGTGTGGAAAACCGCAAGGGAATAATCATATCTTGGTATCTTGGTACATTGGCAATGTCCCAAGATATAATTATCCCCTTACGATTTTTTTACACAGATTTTCATTCGGTACAATCGCGCGGGGCTCCCGCTCGGGCTCAAATCCCGAGCGGGAGCCCCGCGCGATTGTATGTAAAAGTTGTGCGGGCGAGTGTTGCTTGATCACTCCTCCCCCAGGCTTGCTCGCGCAGCGCATCAAGCGCGACCGCACCGAGAGCCAGATCAACCACGAGAGGGCCGACAACGTGATGCAGTTGCTGAAGGACTGTGTGCAACCATCCAGCGTGCTGCTCGCGAACCTCGGGAAGCCGATGACCAGCCTCGACTTGACCGAGTGCGAGGATAACTTGAAGGAGTGTGCTAAATTGTTCTTGCTGTTGGAGCAGGCGCACCAGGAGTTGATCATGTCCTCGGGTCTCAGCAAGAAGGACAAAAAGAAGACGTCCGCCAGGCTCGCCGAGATCAAGAATAAGTAGGTCTGTGCTGACAGAACGCCATGCCAAACGGTTTCAAACAGAATGAGCGTTTGAAGATAGTTGGAGCGTATGGCTCTCGGTTTATGAAAAACCAAACATGTTTATATGTTGAAAAACATGCAAATCGAGAATCCATCGACAATCCATCGAAAATCGATGGGTTCTCGACCGAATCATCGAAAATCTATTGATTTTCGATAGATTCTCGATGGATTCTCGATGGGCATGGTTTTTTTTCATATATAGTTAAGAAGATATCGAATCACAATTTGGTTATCAGTTTGAGATTTCTGGTTTAGATTTCTGAGTATGTTGGTTTGGCATGGTTTGTTTTTGTTCACGGCGTCTCTGGATTTATACATCTAGATGTTTGGGGTCCCGCCACTTTGAAGCAGGATCGTCGCAGACCCCCCGTTGCGAAACCAGAGCTTGGGAGTGTGCCCATCATTTGCTCGAGCGCTGAAGCAGTTAAGTCTAGATGGCCCAGAGGTGGGCACTGCGTGCCTCGTAGTTGCGCTGTCGATCGGCCAACCCTCCTGAAGGTCTTGAAAGACAAGCCACACGGGGAAGGGATGAGATGAGTGTTGCGATACGGAGAATGGGCAGGAAGGGGAAGTGGCCAAGGGAATGGGGAGGAGGGGGAGCACGCAAGGGAGGGAAGTAGAAGGATGGTCATGGGAAAGGCAGGTGATATGATAAGTAATGGAGATAAGTTGCCGCGCTGGAGCTCCAACCCTGTGACATCAAAGGCCTTGGTCCCAGGGGCTTTGGCACTGCCGTTCTCTTAGGGCTGACACTGGAGCGCTGTAATGTTGCGTGATAAGGCCGACTCACCTGGCGAGTACGTTTGAGATTATGTAAAATGATGTTTGGTCGGCAAGGCTGCCTACCGTGTCGCCCTCCCCCCTGGTCTTGCAACACCCACTCCACCTATTGGTCCTCCTTCTCCAACTCCTCCTCCTCCTCCTCCGAATCCAGTGCCAACTCCGCCTTCCCCCTCATTAAGCACCAGTTCCTCCTCCCCACACCCCTCCGCCACTAATCCCGAAACCGAGGACGACATTAACATAACCAAATGTGTTGGCAAAATGAACTAACACTTGAAACCAACCACGACAAACGACAAGCAAACAAACCCAAACCAAAACGAACATCGACAACCAACACCAACACGTACAACAAAACGCTGGGGCCTTCGGTGGAATTACTTGAGGAAGCCACGAGCCGTGTAAGGGGTGCGCCGAAATTGTGGAACTAATGCAAAGTAGCATAACCAACATAGTACCACACACAAACGTAAACCAGATGAGCCATCTTGAAATATCAAAACACAATGGCGTCGCAATGGCGTTGTGGGTTCAAGCTTTCTGTATTCCGAGAACGCAATGAACTCGCGCATTTTCTTATGGCCAGATGGCCGATGATGACCGTCGGGCTCTCCTCCGACACAGGGCTCGTCATGGCGGCGTCCGCCAACGTGCTGAGGCCTTGCAGTTATTGCAAGAGATGGACGAGCCCGAGCCCACTGGGCCTGCACACCGATTCGACTCGCAGTTGGGCAGGCAACTCGTTCGTGATTGGGCTTGGGGATACAAGCCAGCTGTTGAAGTTCAAAGGATTGCTGCCTTGGCCGTTGCAGATCAGCGATCCTACATCCGCGACGGCGAGGGGTCCCAGATGCTGGTTGCGTTGGCAAAGCTCGGAGCGCACGGCCAACGACCAGGCAATCCTTCTTCCGAAACAAATCACCCCGACCACCCTTCTGGCCAGACGACGGGGGGAATAGGGGAGGGGGAGAATGATTGTCGGACATGTCAAACTGGTTAGAGGTGTTCTGAAATCCAAATGGGCTTAACCCCACCCACCCTCTCTAGACGTTCGTTCGTTCCCCTCCCAGGGCGCAGTCTGGCCAGACGGGGACAGAAGTGATTGGTCGTCCCCCTCCCTCCTCCCGCTTCCTCCTCCTTCTCCCTCTTTCTTCCCCCCTGTCTCCTCCTTCTCCCCCCTTCCCCTCTCCTCTTCTGCGCTTCCTCCTCCTCCCCCCATGCCCTCTCCTTCTCGCCCTCCTCCTCCGTTTTATTGTATGTATCTTCACCAGGCAACGTCAACAAAGACTTGAAATCGGATCTGGGCCAGCCGTCGTTGCCCGCGCCTTCATATTTCCCTGTGAACGTACGGTCGCTCAAGAGGAGAAGGAACGTATTCCCACTTTTACCCGTTCACTTGTGCCAGCTGGCGCAGATGCCGTTCATGCTCCCCCATGCGTTGTTCGCTCACCTCTGGCATGAAGACAAGGAGGGCTTCAAGCGCACAATCCTTGCCGATGGTTTCGCCTCGAGGTCCTTCTGGGTCGAGGTCGAGAGGCGGCGCGACCCCAGGCTCCAGGGCCATCCAGTTCTGGACAGGGACGGGTGGCGGGACGCCGCCATTCCCATGGGCATCCATGGCGACGCTGTGCCAGTGACTGGGATAGGCGGTCATAACGCAAAGTCATTCGATTGCATTTCGTGGCAGTCGTTGTTTTCCCCTGGAGGAACGCTGCGACAGCTGAAGAATTATATATTTGGCATATTTGAGGATTCGGTGGTCAAGCCACCCAAGTTCGAGCATGATACTATGGACGAGGTTTGGCAAATAATCACTTGGTCAATTCTAGCAGCGTATGATGGCCGATGGCCGTCTGCAGACCATATCGGCGTCCCGTACGATGCCAGCGACACCCCTGCTGAGTTCGCCCTCGCAGGGAAGTTTCTCGCCGATGGCAAGTTTCTCGTTCCTTGGGGCATCAAGGGCGATTTGGATTACTTTGCCAAAGGCCTCCATCTCAAGCACTATGGGAGGGATGATTGTTGCGAGCGTTGTGCTTCAACGACAGCAAAGGATTGCGACCCGAACGTTCACGCTTACAATTACAACGAAGGGGCTCTCTGGATGCGGCGCTTGCGCACGCCTGCTGCATGGCGTGCAGCGAACGCGGCTTCTGCTCACAAGTTATTTGCCATGGCATTTTTTTTTTTTTTTTTTTTTTTTTTTTTTTAAAAAAAAAAAAAATCATGTGCCAACTTGGAGCCTGATGAGCTACACGTCCTTCATCTGGGCGTTGAAATGTGGGCGCTCGGATCAGTGATTTGGATATTGGTGTTTAAAGTTCTTCGCGGGACCCCGTCCCGTAATATAGATCAGGTGTGGGCATGGCTTCTGGAGTCATACGAGCATGGCGATCAATATCATCAGTTCCCAACGCTCGGTCTGTCTTGGTTCACAAACGTCAAGAACCCACGTGGTCACTTTCCAAAGTTGAAGGGCAAAGGCGGTCAGGTAAAGCATTTGGTCAAACCGATGCTTCGCGTGTGGCGTCGGTGCAGGGCAGAGATTTTAGACGTTCACGAGGGTGCTGTGCTTTTCGTTCGGGTCGACGCCTTGCTGGGGCACTTGATTGAAATCCAGAGGTTAATTGATTTTCACGCTTGGGATTCATTCATGACGATTGCCAACGCTGTTTCGCTCAAAAGGGAGACTGAAGCATTCCTGAGATTGTATAGCGTGATTGGGGCCGCGTCAGACGCGGGTCCAGATAATGATCTGCTGTGGAATATGACGCCGAAGTTTCATTGGCTCTGGCATCTTGCAGACAGGGCCATGTTTTTGAGCCCCCGTCTTGGGGCGTGCTGGATCGATGAGAGTTTCGTTGCTGTCAGGAAGCGAGCTGCCAAGTCGTGCTCTTTTGGCACGACGCTAAACAGTATCCCTGGTGCAGTGATGACAAAATACAGGTGGGGCATGCACTGCGATCGGTACGTGTGCCCCAGGTGAATTGTAAGTTGCCAAGCCGCATGGCTTAGTGCGTCTCCCCAAGGGAAACGTACTCGTGGCCAGTAATCCTCATCCTCCTCCGCATCATCATTATCATCCTCCACCTCACCCTCCTGCCCCATAGCCGACTTTTTTCTGTGCTGTGAGAGCTTCGCCCGTTCATTGCCGTCCAGTTCCGATGTTATACCGTCGAGGCTTCGCCCGCTTCGCCAACCCATGTTCTGGTCTGCGTTTTGACAGGGCCTCCCTAAATGCGTAAGGGGTGTGCCGAGATGGGCGCTGTGGCGCCATGTGGACACCCTCACTCTGGCCATAGGTGGAGCCCCCTGCGGGGGCAAGACACGTGAGGGGTGTGCAGACATGGGCGCAGGTTTCCCTCTCCCTGCATCCTGGCTACTAGTACTAGTCATAGTGCTCTTACTTGTGCTAATACTAGTGGTGTCAGCAACACTAGTAGTCGTCGTAGTTGAAAAAGTAGCAGTAGCAGTCATCGTAGTCGTTCGTCGCCGTCGTAGTAGTAGTCGTACTTATCGTAGTGGTGGTGGCAGTAGTGGTAGTGGTCGTGGTGGTTGTGTTGGTGGTGATGGAAGATTCGCACGAGTAGTTAGTGGTAATATTAGGAGTAGTAGTAGTAGTAGTAGTAGTAGTAGTAGTAGTAGTAGTAGTAGTAGTAGTAGTAGTAGTAGTAGTAGTAGTAGTAGTAGTAGTAGTAGTAGTAGTAGTAGTAGTAGTAGTAGTAGTAGTAGTAGTAGTAGTAGTAGTAGTAGTAGTAGTAGTAGTAGTAGTAGTAGTAGTAGTAGTAGTAGTAGTAGTAGTAGTAGTAGTAGTAGTAGTAGTAGTAGTAGTAGTAGTAGTAGTAGTAGTAGTAGTAGTAGTAGTAGTAGTAGTAGTAGTAGTAGTAGTAGTAGTAGTAGTAGTAGTAGTAGTAGTAGTAGTAGTAGTAGTAGTAGTAGTAGTAGTAGTAGTAGTAGTAGTAGTAGTAGTAGTAGTAGTAGGAGGAGGAGGAGGAGGAGGAGGAGGAGGAGGAGGAGGAGGAGGAGTAGCAGCAGCAATAGTAGCATCAGTTAGCCGTAGCAGTGGCAGTACCTGCAATAGCACTAGCAGTAGCAGAAGCAGCCGTAGTGGCAGTAACAATAGCAGTAGCAGTATCAGTAGCAGCAATCGTAGTCGTAATAGTCGCAGTAGTCGTATTTGTCGTAGCAGTCGTAGTCTCAGCAAAATGTATAATACTAGTGGTCGTGCGGTTGGCACTAGAAATAGTAGCCTCACCAGCAGCAATCGTAGTTATAATAATGTAGTAGTGGTAGTAACTATAGCGGTCCAGTTGTAGGATTCAACTGCATACCCAAACTCCTAACAGATTCGACCCAATCGCCAAATCGTCCCAATGCGACATGTAGATCCATCCTTATATTCAACTCCAAATCTAGCCCTAGACCCAACCCTAAACTCAACCCTAGATCCAGCCCTAAATCGAACTTTGCTCCAACCCTAGATCCCACCCAACCCTAGATTCATCCTTAGACCCAACCCTATTTCCAAGCCTAGACAGACCCAACCCTAGATCCAACCCTAGACCCATCCCAAGATCTAACCCTAGTTTCACCCCTAGTTTCACCCCTAGTAGCAACCCTAGTTCCAACCCTAGTTTCAACCCTAGTTTCAACCCTAGTTTCAACCCTAGTTTCAACCCTAGTTTCAACCCTAGTTTCAACCTTAGTTTCAACCCTAGTTTCAACCCTAGTTTCAACCCTAGTTTCAACCCTAGTTTCAACCCTTCAACCTTAGTTTCAACCCTAGTTTCAACCCTAGTTTCAACCCTAGTTTCAACCCTTCAACCTGAGTTTCAACCCTAGTTTCAACCCTAGTTTCAACCCTTCAACCTTAAAGTCAACTTACCGTCCCAACCCTTCAACCTGAAAACCAACCTCAGAATGAAGCGCTCAACCCTTCAACTCCTTCAACCCTTCATTTTCGGGGTGCCGGATGCTTTGGGCTGTAGCAGGCCGCAAGGGGCCCGCGAGGCTGCCCAGACAGAGGCCCCGCAGCTCCCGATCCACCGCCGAGAGCGAGGGGCTGGTGTGCCAAGACTGGCCGCCGCTGGCGCGGGCTGCTGGCCGCACTTCGCCCTGCCTCCGCAGCTCTCCCGGAGACCTCCGGCGTCGTCGTGCCTTGCTGCCCGCTCCTGCCGCCCCCGCGGGCCCAGGAGCTCTCTCCACATCCTCTGCTCGGGGCTCTGGTGGCTCGTCCCTGGCCGCTGCTTCTGTGAGGGCCCCGGGGCCCGGGCGCGGCCCGCGCGCGGTTCGCGCGCGGAGGCCGATGAGTGGGGCGCGCGGCGCCTTGGGTCGAACAGACCACCGCGCTGGGAGTTGACCTGTGGAGTAGTGTGTGCCCTGAGATGCTGGCGTTGCAATGCTTTTTGCAGCGGGCGTGTTTGCTCGATCTCGGGCCCCGGGACCCTCACAAATCGATCGCGCTCGAAAGATGACGCAGAAAGAGGGCGTCCAGGGCTCCAGGCGTGTTTTTTTGTGGCGACGCTGTATTTTTACCCAAACAGCTTGCTGAACGTGGTGCTGTTGTGATAGAAGCTAGCTCCGGCCGAGGGAAAGGGGAGCAGAGACATCCTCACAAAAATCTGATGGTCCGGGCCGTTTCGCTTGAGACATCCTCACAACTCTCGTTTTTGAGTTGGCCGGGATTGGCCGTTTCGCCTGAGACATCCTCGAAAAGTTGCGTTCCGGGACGCCGCGCGAGAGGTGGTCCGGGCCGTTTCGCTTGAGACATCCTCGAAACTCTGAGCCCCGAAGGTGCCGTGCGAGAGGTGGTCCGGCCCGTTTCGCCTGAGACATTCTCGAACATCTGAGCCTCCCGTTTCGCCTGAGACATCCTGGAAACTCTGGGCTCTGAGATACCGCGCGAGAGGTGGTCCAGCCCGGTTGGCCTGAGACGACCTCGAAACTCTGAGCTCTGAGATGCCGTGCGCGAGGTGGTCCCGCCCGTTTCGCCTGAGACATCCTCGAAACTCTGGGCTCTGAGATGCTGCGCGAGAGGTGGTCCGGCCCGTTTCGCTTGAGACATCCTCGAAATTCTGGGCTCTGACATGCCACGCGAGAGGTGGTCCGGCTCGTTTCGCCTGAGAATCCTCGAAATTCTGGGCTCTGAGATGCCGCGCGAGAGGTGGTCCGGCCCGTCTAGCCTGAGACATCCTCGAAACTCTGAGCTCCCAGATGCCGCGCGAGAGGTGGTCCGGCCCGTTTCGCCTGAGACATTCTCGCAACTCGGGGCTCCCAGATGCCGCGCAAGAGGTGGTCCAGCCTGGGGGTCCAGAAAGAAGACCACATGTTACATATCCCCCCTGGGACCCTGGGAGCCCCAGGAGGCCCCAGAGAGCTTCAGGAGGCCGCAGGACGCCCAGGACAGGTCCCAGGGGTCCCCAGGAGATTCCCGGGAAGCTCCCAGGAGGCCCCAGGAGGCCCCCTATCAGAACATGTCAAGTTAATACACATCCGGTGCCGATTCGTTGATTTTTTCTGCTCTTGTGCCCCCCCATTTTGGAGGGCCCAGACGGCCACATGTTAGATATCCCCCCCTGGGAGCCCCAAGAGGCTTCAGGAAGCCCCAGGCGGGGTCCAGGAGGCCACAGAAGGCCCAGGAGGTAGCCCCAGGAGGTCCCCAGGAGGCCCCGTGAGGCCCCAGGAGGCCCCCGCAACTCGGAGCTCTGAGACGCCGCGTTCGAGGTGGTCTGGCCCGTTTCGCCTGGGCTTCCTCGCAGCACGTTTCGCCAGAGACATCGTCGCAACTCTGGGATCCGAGATGCCGCGCGCGAGGTGGTCCAGCCCGTTACGCTGGAGACATCCTCGCAACTCTGGGCTCCGAGATGCCGTTCGGGATGAAGAGGAGGTGGAGGAGGAGGAGGAGGAGGAGGAGGAGGAGATGGAAGGAGGAGGAGGACGTGGATAAGGGAGCAGGCAGGAGAAGGGGGAGGGGGAGGGGGAGGAGGAGGAGGAGGAGGAGGAGGAGGAGGAGGAGGAGGAGGAGGAGGAGGAGGGAGAAGGAAGGGAGTAGCAAGAGAGGACCAAACGGGAAGCGAGTGTGACGTGGACTTGTCAGAACGTGTACGAGAGGTTGTCCGGCCCGTTTCGTTTGAGACATCTTTCCACTACTGAGCTCCAAGATGTCACTCGCGAGGTGGTCCAGCCCGTTTCGCTTGAGCCATCCTCACAATGCGAAGCTCGAAGATGTTGCGCGCGAGATGGTCTGGCCCGTTCTGCCTGAGACGTTTCGTAGCACCGGGGCTCCAATCA